AGGACAATTGAAACATGTGAAGTTATTTTACACGGTGCACTACCGAGGCTGCATGTGGTGCTGCGGCGACGAAGGTTTCTCGGGGACCTTTATTGACGGAAGCGTGACGGGGGCATGTTCTGCGGACGTCGGTCGAGTGGGGGAGTGGGCAGCGCTGCTTCTGGACGTGATCTCGCACTTGGACGCTGCCTTGTGAAGGCGCTCTCGGTGCTTTGCCGACGGTTGACGGTGATGGTGGTCGAACCAAGGGTGTTCTGCAATATCAAAGATTGTCGGTCTAGTCGCAGCGTCCTCGCAGAGCATGGACTTGAGCAGAGATTTGGCTTCGGACGAGTACGATTCATTGCTTGCCAGAGCAGTGTGCATGGCCGTGACGTTCTACACGTTTACATCAGCAAGACGTATGTCGAGTCATTTTCAATCGAAGTACAGTCTGAACAAGCTTTTGAAAGTGCGCTCGGTCGCTGAGCACGTCGAGATGGTACGCCGTCATCCAAGTCTTGAGGAAAAACGTATTGCCGAGGACAAGCTAGCCGCATCATCCGGTCATGATACCGTGGTAAATACCTCCTGGCGTTCATCTACCTCGAGCAAAATGCATCCAATGCTCCACACGTCGGCTTTTTGGCCATCGTACTGGTCATGCAGCAGCATTTCCGGTGCAAAGAAGCCCGGGCTCCCGCAAAAGTCATACAGCGGCGCTGTGCCCACCTTGGCGCACAGCCCAAAATCAACGATCTTGACCATGTAGTTGTCATGCGTGAACAGAATATTCTCCCTACGTACGCCATGACGCCACGCATCAACGTCATCGTCGCGTACGGCTTGAGGTCGCGATGACAGTAGCCGTGCAGGTGCATATGCTTGACAGCTTCTGCGATTTTGAACGTGATGCGTAATGCAGTGGCCTCCGACACCCCCTCTACCGATCTCGCCATCAGCGCAGCCAGACTACACGAACGCAGCTGCCTTACTGTCGTGTGGCCCAAAAAAGTCAAACAGGTCCTTGCCCCCGCGCTCGGTGACGAGGTAGATAAACTTGGACGTGTGGATGACCTCGTGCACACAGAGGAGGCTCGGGTGGCGTAATGCCGGGTCCGACAGCGCCGCGATCTCAGAGTGCACTCGAACGAGGCCGGTGATGTCGGTGAGTTTGCTCTTGTTGATGGCCTTGAGGGCCAAGTTGGGCGGGGACGGGCAAACGTTGTCGACAGTCGGCGACGACGGCAGAAGCGTAGCCGACCCTCCCGTGCTGCCTTGGTGATGGGTCATGGAAGCAGCGGGATTGCGGCTGCATGAGTACACTGACGCGTATTGGCCTTCACCAAGTGTCCCGTGGATTGTGTAGTCGCCCACGATTGTCACACTTTCAATGATGTCATGGGCCAATGCTGGAATCAGGCTGAGCGACGAGTCGTGCTGGGGCAAGTATTCCCAAAGGATTCGTTGATTCGTATCGGTGACTCTAGCCCAAGGGCCGTGAGAGACACCGCGCCGAGCAACATACAACTACTTGACGTATTGGGCTTGCAGCTCCTGGACGTCGTGCTGGAACTGCTCGAATTCCAAGTGCAGGTTCGAGTAACGGGCCATGGCCGATGTGAGCTCTTGCTGCAGCCTCTGCATCATGCAAGACCTCATTACAACGGCATTTTCAACGTGGACACTACCTCGACTTCTGCCTGATGGGCCTTGGCGCGCTTCTCGAGCTACATAATTCCATCGCGCGTCGTGTGTTTCGTCCGATGGGCTGCCATTTCAGTACCTTAACAACTCGCTTCTTGTACTTGTCCACATCGGCTTTCCACTCCGGCGGGATCTCGCCAGTGTCCGATGGCGTGGGCGGAAACCAAACCCCCCACTCTTGAGGATACACTCGTTTCCTGGATGCAGCCTAGGGCAATCACAGTGACTGGTGTTGCTACTGGCTAGCTGTACCACGTGCTGGGCAGTAGCCATAGACCCCTGGACCTACGACACTCACAAGGTGGGACCGCCCATCAAGAAGCAACCGACGCAGATACTAACTTGAGCAAAGGTCGAGTTGGGGGTGAAGATGTCGACCGTGTGGCCCTTGAACTCCATCACAGTGGCCAGCAGCATGTCCATGGCGTTTGAATCTGGAGTGAGGAGCACAAGCATCTCCATTGGGACGACCTTTGGCGTGTTTGGAACCTCCATTGGCACGCGAGGCGTCAAAGGTATTGCCGGTGCCTCGTCGCCGTCGCCGCTCATCGTGGACCTGGCTTGCGAAACGGCGCCGCGCCACGTCGAAAAACTGTCCTGTCGAAGACAAATAGTGTGAAAGTTGTATCTTGGCGTCACACGAAATCGAAATATTTTTGAGAAACCCTCGATATTTACAAATATCCGAAAATGCATCTGCCAGCTCCATCAGCGGTTGCTCGGGCGTCATGTTCGCCACATCAAGCGTTGCAAAGTCTGTGCTTGGTTGCCGTAAGGAATATTTTCGATCGCATCGATGAGCGCAGCGACTCGCTTCGAGTTGCCGCTTGTGGCCCAACTTGTGCTCCATGAAAAGCCCAGCCATTTCATAGTAGACAGTCGCCGTACGCAATGGCGACGCCAACCAGCGACAGCAGTCCGCACGCAGCCATCTCCTTCCGACAGAATGCAATACACTTGATCTTGGTTGCGGGGGAAATTGGGCTCGTGGACGTCACCGTCGTTCGCGAGGGTTCGCCTGTCGGTACGAGTGAGTGGGCTACGTACGTCATACCGGCCAATATGCTCGTCCTCCAAGACCTATCGAAGCAGATGTGCGGAAGATGGACACCATACTGCGCCATGCACGTACGAACGAGGGCGGTGTCGTCCCCGAACACCATACTCGTTCGACTTGGCGCTGGCTCGCTCGACTGGCCAAGTCGGCGGCATGCGCTGTCGACCTTGTCCTTTGCCATCGTCATGTTCAAGCACTTTCCTGTGGCGAAGTTCGTCGCCACGACGTCGGTTGACCTCTTGCCTAACTGCAAGCTAACGCCCATGCAGCCTGCCCTCGAACGCGCATCATCGATCGAGGACTGGTCCAAGGCACGGAGTCGCAGCAAGAGTCCAAGCGCAGGGGGACCTCAAGAAACTCATCAAGACACCCACTTCCTCGTCATGCTGGGGAACAAGCTGCTTCTCCCTGACGACGTCCGCGCTCCGCCAAATCGACCGTGATGTCGCCCGCTTTGACCGATGGATTTTGACGACGCGCAAGATATCAGACGATAAACCCCCCGACAGGATGCTTCAGCCTCCAACGACTCCAAGCACGACCTCCGATGCCCCCCTTGTGAGCCTTATAACTGAATTCTTTGCACCCAACTCCCCACAACTCAGCTGCTTACGACGGCAGTGTTGATTTTCATCCTTCCCTAGACGTTGCTAATCCATGGCAAACCTGTGACAGAGCCTACACCCATTGCACCGGCCATCGAGCACAACGACGAACATCACAGAGGTTGTGCGACTTCTCGGACTGTCCGAAATTGCCCGAGCTACCACAATCACTTCTGGACGATCCGCAGACGACTACCCCCCCCAGCTGAAGGCATATTCAAAGTGCATACGTTGGAGTTCCCATCGTAATGACCTGTCGGCCCTAGCAAGTCCTCATCGCATGCCAGCACGGTAGCTGCGGCAGTGGCGGGCGGGGTAAAGGAGCTGACCGCTACCTTTGCGGGTGTCGCTGTAATGGGACATGCCATTGGGGGACCAGCGAGAAATATAATCGTTTGCGATGCCCTCGCCAGGTAAAGACTATTCGATTGTTGGCCATCCCGAGGGGCCGATTGCCACAGTCTGGTCGGTCCATACGACTATCTCGTGTCGCTGGTTTCAATACATTTCTGCCTCTTCATGGCAACCCTGGCATTTGTCGAGGAAGGCATAGCCACGCCTTGGCCTTCCCATGGCCCACGTAAGGGCTTCATCCATGCGACCGTGAGTGCATGCCTCTAGGAACCCGAGTCTCAAGCGGCGCCAAAGCGCTCTACATACCCCAGCAAACACCATTACCAATGCGGCATACTTCGTCGCCGCCCCTAGAAACTCACTGGGAATGGTTACATCGGAACATCCAAACGTGCCGTAGATAAATATGTTATTACAGATATACTAAGTTGAAGGTATGGTGAACGTCGGAATCAGTTCAACGATCAACACTCTCTTCAAGAAGGCCGCCGGCGATCACCAAGGGGAGATGGACCACGCTATGAAGGTCGCACGACTGGAATGCTCGAGATAGTTGCAATCCTATACAATGGATTGTCCTCGTCCGGGTAGTCGTGGATTCATTTGCATGTTGAGCAGAGGTGTACGCACTCGCTGTCTAGCCCACAAGAACAAAGTGTGGGTGCAAATTATAAACCACAAGAACCTGCTATCCGGATGCGATTTTATCTCATAACACAACACCCTGTTTTACAGACATAATCAACAGTACGATTGACATTTTAGATCTATTGCTGGAAAAACTGTCCTTAAAATGAGGGATCCATTGCTGGGTATGGTATCCGGATTCCTGGTCCTTGTACCGCGCGATCCATGGAAACGCCATACTCCTTTCATTCCGGAATTTGCCGCCAGTAGATATGGCCGACATGTCCTCTACCGAGAACAACCTTCTCTTCGCAGTGCCAAAGAAGGGACGCCTGCATGACCAGGTCGTCAAGTTCCTCAACGGTGCTGGCCTCGATTACACTCGGGTACGTCAAAGCACCATGCATGCTGATGTGTTCATGGTTGATCAACCCGTTCCGATCGTAGCCTCACCGTTTGGATATTGCGCACTGCTCGTCGCTTCCAGTGACTGTTGTGTTCTTGCCCGCATCGGACATTGCTGCATACGTCGGCGAGGGTAATGTGGATCTCGGCATCACCGGACAAGACATCATTGCGGAGAGTCAAACCACTGTCAATGAACTCATGGTAACCCCGAGATCGCCGCGATTGAACCTTGCTCACGATGTGCCAGAACCTGGGATTTGGCAAGTGCTCACTGTCCGTGCAAGCGCCCATCACGAGCGCCATCAAGGATCCTGCGCTACTTGCGGGAAAGCGCATTGTCACATCATTCCCCAATGTAGCACGTGAATACTTCAAGCAATTTGAAGTTCCCGGCAAGCCCACTCGTGCGTGGATCTCGTACTCGTGGATCATTGCATCTTCATGCGCCGTCTCGTAGATATCAAGTACGTGGGGGGGTCCGTTGAGGCTGCCTGTGGACTGGGTTTGGCCGACGGGATTGTCGATCTCGTCGAAACAGGAACGACGATGAAGGCTGCGGGGCTTGAGATCGTGAGCAACATCATGAAGACGGAAGCCGTGCTGATTTCGAACCCCAACACGAAGCACCGAAAGCTCGTGAACAAGATTCATCAGCGACTCCTCGGATTTCTCTTTGCCCAGAAGTACCGCATGATTTCGTACAACATTGCGCGGGAAAAGCTCCAAAAAGCAATTACGATTACTCCTGGTCGCAAAGCGCCGACGATCAATCCGCTCCTGAACGAGGACTTTTGTGCAGTGTCGGCAATGGTCCCTCGCAACGACGTCGCCGATATCATGGACGACCTCCACGAGCTCGGTGCGACCGATATCTTCGTCCTCGACATCGAGAACTGTCGGGCATAGAGATTTGAGTGATAAAGATGTAATGAACGTGCCATTACACTATGGAGATCCCGTAAGGCTGGGTCCGATGCATGGCATTACGCATGAATACGCGAGTTTGGAGCACCATCGACGAAACTTGCGCATAGAGGAAAGCATGTGCAGGGGGAAGCAATTTCATTTGTGCCACAGTCGCAGCCACCCTGCTGCCAGTTTGTTGGTTTGCTCGACTGTTTGCGTCATTTCTTCGATATTGTCGCTCAGCTGACGCAGGGACTCGTTAAAGACTTTGATGGACCTAGTACTCGCTTCGTATTCCTTGATCTCTGCGACCATCTTCCTCTTTGTAGCAGTGGTGGGCGACGTCGGCGGCGGCACTTCAGTGTCGTTCATGTCGCTTCCTGTGTTGAGAATTCAACATTGCCTCGAATTCCACCAATCAGATGAACTCAATCACTACGATTGGTTAATTTATAACACTGCTCAGCATTGATTGGTTCGCTTCAAACTAGTGTAAAAGAATTGGATACACTACTTTAAATTTGTACTGGAAAACTGTATATATATCACGCTAATATCTAAAGTGTATAACACTATTTGAAGGCCATCACACTGAAATAGGCCAATCAGAAGGCAGAAGTGTGGACCACCTCCATTGTTGGCCCACGAGCAATTGCGACTGCAGTCCATCCTGCCCCATGTTCGCCACCGGTCGGTCCTTCGTCATCTCCATCGCTGCGCCGTTGCGCGTTGCCAGCAACCGTCAAATCAACCGCAAGCTTAAGCACCCTGCGACCCTGCGCAAGATCGCACGTAAGGAAGCTGAGAACCCTGTCGAGTGCGTGCTTCCACCTTTGAAGTACCAACCGACGTACGTCCCTGAAAAGGTGAGCTTCAACGGTTGGTCCCCTGCGCGCGCGGAAGGACCTTTGGAAGGACTTCCGTTCCATGTGAAGCGCACAGCGACTGGATTGCAATTGCCTGTGTACCGTGACTACCGCAATGGCCGGACGCGCGTCATTACGATCGTCCGTCGCTTCCACGGCGACGAAGCAGCGTTGCAACAAGAGCTGTCGACTGTGTGCCAAGGCAAGGCCGTTGTCAGCCGACCTGGCCGACTGGAAGTCGTGGGAGACTACTCCGCCGCTATCAAACAGTACTTCACCGGGTTGGGGTTTTAAATGTGAATATACAAACCCGAATTGTACTCTTCGGAACCTGGCTTTTCCTGCGACCCCTGCTTCTTGCTGAGCCACCCTTCCTACACCATCGAGCCGCAATCGGGATCAAATGCACTCAGTTCCATGGTACCCAGCCAACTTTTCAAGCTCTGTCGAACACAAAAAACCCTGCATGCTCCTTGGACCCCACTCACTGCATCGCTCTATCGAATATGGGCAGCTTTGTACGCCAGCATGCGATGGAGTGATATGTACGTGGAAGTTCCTCCATCAACGCCAAGAGTTATGCAGCCAGCTTGTTGTGGTTTTGGTTTTACTTAGTATGATATCGACCATGGATTGTCCTACTTGGTACGCTTCTTGTTCTTCTTGGACTTCTTCGGGGTCGACTTGGGCTCCTCAACGAACTCCTCGCCGTCATCCTCGACCCACACGATGCCGAATTCGTCCATGTGATGCACAAATTCATCTTCCAGGTGGCCACGGACATATGCCGTTCGCAATTCTTCCAAAGGGAACTGGATGCCGTGCAATTCCGTGGGGAACGGCGACGTAGATGGCACGACAAACTTGGACAACACTTCCGTGACATTCACACCGGCGCCGTGCGACTCGGACACGGACTGCACCACTTGCAAAATGTGTTGCTGGTCCTTCACCGTGAACATCTTCTTATTCCACGTCGACATCACTCGCACGCCTTGACGGCGCCACAGCCCTCCGAGCATCGTCATCGCAGCGCTCATCTCACTTGGAATATGTCGGACCAACCAATTGTGTCCCTTCACACGAGTGCACCAATCACAACCCGCAATTGTACTTTTAGTAGTACTATAGGTTGCCACCAAGAATGGCAGGACTACTACTCCACTTACTATTAGTAAGATAGTCGTCTAGACAACCACGATCTCGAAATGGTGAAGTAGTTGGCTGCGACGCGGTGACCACCGCCTTAACCTCCTAGCTGACGAATGTCATGAAGGACATCTCCTAGAGAGATTGCGATTGCTGAATAGCTCAAGCCATGGCCAGCATGTGTATCCTTTCGTCACTCCGATCACTATGAGAGAAGCGACGAAAGGAACGAAATCATAACAGCGACGGAGCACGAGGAAACTGATGGGCTGGATGCAATGGCAATTCCACAATGGAGTCAGCACACTGTGACAAGATCGCATGTTGAGAGCATTATTCACATGCATACTGTGAATGGAAAGGGATTTATCGAAACGGGGTGGATTCGATTTGGCTTAGATGGATTTGGTGTCCATGGGGGCTCGGTATCCACTGATGACTTGAGGCACGGCGGTGTATACGCTTTGTTGAGAGTACACCATGATTTCTGCTGGGGGAGGACTTCGCATGAGCTCGGCACGGTAAGAGAACGAACGCTGGATCGCAATGTACGTCAGGTAGATTTGGAAAATGTACGACACTGTGCCGAGGACGATGACGACCCATCCCCAGGACGTGATCACGGGCCACTCCGATACGACGACAACCAGGACGATCGACGACAGCACTTGTAAGAACAGGATGAAGCAATTCCCAAAATAGTACTACAAGCACACGGTCGATCAGCTCCCAAATTCATCGATATAGCATACTATGAGGACGTACGAATTGAATAAAGCTGACTTTGCTCTGAACAACAGGGGTCAGGGTCCCGTAGTACCCGACGGCGGCAACCAACAGGCCAAACAGGCCTGCCCACCACGTCAAGTACGTGAACACAAACGACGCGAAGAAGACCGCAATCTGGACAACCGCAATTTGGCTGCATGGCTCGCGGTGCTCGTACAGGAAGTGCGCTTGGGCAGATTCGTAGTCGTGCATGGTGCTCGGCGGGTCAAAATCGAATGTGCCGGATGGATCTTGAAAGATCGCAGTTGTGTTGACCAATCACAGCGCAGGACGAGAGCGACCCTTCTACTTTAGAAAAAGAGCACGAGTATTCTTTATATTTACTTGATCATTGTATGATCTGGCTCGGAACAAAAAATACCTTCTACAGTTGAAGCACGTACGTAAGAAATAAATAAAAAAAAATGTAGTTCAAATGAATATTGATTTTAAAAAAGCATTATTCGAAAAGTATCGCGGACAGTCATATTTGCATGCCACATGAGTAAGTCCGATTGGTGAGCACAATCCAATATGTAGCGACTGCGGCGGCACATGAGCACGACGAAGAAAGACCTTGCTACACAACTGCGCGGCGCATCTTCGGTGCCAATGCGCTCATATGCGTGTATGTTAACGCACTATTCAATGGCTATGGTATGGTTGAGCTGAATTTTAGAGGGAGTTCATTCCGTACACGTCAACCAGGATGTTTGCAAGCATGTCCGCCAGACTCGGGTCGGACATGGCAACGAGTACCAACTCCTTTTCAACCGGGAGAAAGTACGGCAGCGTCGCAGGGGCCAATGCTAAATTCGACAATACTCCCACAGCCAGCCGTGCCGATTCTGCTCGACCGATGCACGACGTCATGACAACAACAAGACGTCGCATAGCAGCGGGCAGCGTTGCAACTGCGACTCGCACAACGTCGTGGCGATCCGTGAGGAGGTAAAGAAGATGAAGCATGCAGTCGCGAACCTCCACGTCGATGTTTTTCGACTCTGGCTCGCCGTCCCATCCCTTGGAGGCAAATACCATCCCCATGTTCGCGCCGACTTCTACAAGTATCAAATCGTTCAAACAACTCCCTTTCAAATATCCATCAAAATAGTATCAAAACAGTCGGTCGCTGGGGAAAAATTCGCCTCATTGACATCTCAAAACTTGCCATGTCCTAATTCCAATGCATGTTGGACGTACCAGAGGTGTATGATGCCTGGCCTTCCTCCCACGGCCCTGACCACGTTGGCAGCGCCTCGTCGAGGTCGCCGTAAGGATCATCGTCGCCATTCGAATGGATATTCTCGTCGTCATCGTCATTGTCATACTGACATTGCCCCGCCGCGACGTCGTCGTCGTCGTCGTCGTCTTGGAGCCACCCGTCCTGCGACAACGCCCTCGTGTAACGGAATGTCTCCTACTAATAGTAATCCTACAATGACGAACCTGGCGGTTTCGGCTGCACCCCTCGACAATGCGCGCCAAGAGCAACCGGAACGAAGCATGGCGCAGGATGCGGTCAGCGCAAGCAGTGGACCGCCTTTTTAGCCACTGCGCAAGCACCTGCGCGGCCCGCAGCACGGTCGCGCGATGCTCAGAAGAGTCGAGCAGTGTGCCCACAACGACGTCGATTAGAGCGTCCGAGACAGTGGTGGAGTTCGGGATTGAAGGAGACGGCGTATTGTGCGACGCCAGCTAGGCACACCAATAGAGCTGAGCGAGGACTCGTAACTCTAGATGCGAGCGTACCTGCACGGCGATGTCCCACAGGAGATCGACAGCTTCTCGAGCAGGCATGTCGGGTTGGGATTGCTTGAGGGCAACAGGCAGCAGATCCAGGACCGCTGAGTGCGATGCCAGAACGGTCTGGTTGTCGGGGATCATTGCAAGGTTGCGAAGAATATGAAGGACGCGGCAAGTTCGATCGGCTTGCATCACAGGATGCTCGAAAACACTGACATCATTGACGTCATCGGGGTTCATGGATGAGGACAGGAGAGATGGGTCGGCATGCGTCGAAGAGAGATGGATTTGGCGGAGAAGAGCGTCAAGGAGACCAGGAACATGTGCGAGAAGGAGGTCACAGTCGGGGTCTTTGGGCGACCCGAACGAGAGCACGATGAGTTGGTTGAGCGCCCACTCGACGTGATCGGGCAAATTCGAGTCTAGCGCGAGCACGAATCGATGCATCACGCCCAAATCTGTCGAGAATGGAACAAGGAGAATCTCGGTGAAGATGGGAGGTAAACGTACCGGAGAGTTGGTTGCGATGAGTCTTCAATCGCTTGGTGACGACTGGGAGCGGTGTCTGGCGGACGCTCGTGGTGAGTTGAATCTCTGCATGCGTTGCGATCGGTTCGGTTGTTTCATCACTGGTGTCACGATGTCGCTTTGGCCCGATCTGGTGGGCTTCAAAACCTCGCAGCCACCTACGCAGACAAGGGCATGTTCGTGAAGGACGGGGGAAACCAAACACTCATACGTAGCGTATAAAGCTTGGAGTTTGGTCGGGGCGATTTTCAACTTCATGGAGAGGGCGACACTTGGCCAACGAGCGTTCTTAGAGACAGCGTCGTACCCGCCTTTGTCTACCACTTCTTCGTACAACTGAACAAGGTCGATACTCCGTGGGATGTTGAGCGTGAGATCGGGGACCGTAGGAAGGGCTTGTTGCTGCAGATGTGGTGATACCTTCTGGTAATATGCCAAAAGACTCTGAAGGATGCGTGACTTGCCCATGTTTCCGCGACAAAGCAACTGAAGTTCCACCCATTGCTTCGATCCACCACCGCCGGGGCCTGCTGGACGACCTTGTTGCATCATGGCCAACTCGGGATTTTGGAGCCGATTATCCGGATCGCATCTATCCGGAAGTCCTTCCACATTTGAATTATGGCGGAGGAACTGGCGCAGCTCGAGCAACTGCGCGCGTCGTCGCGGGACCTGGTGACCTTCTTGGAGCAAGTATGCGAGGAATTCGATATGATCCAAGGCGAAAATGAGAGTACGTAGCATTTCTAGGCATGTTATGTCTCCCATGGATACACTTTCCTGCTTTATGGACAAGCTATGTGACATCGGTAGAAGCATTACGTATCATGGAGAACTGGGCGGCGGTGTTTCAGGCGGCGAAGGGTGTCGCGCGGATACAACTTGCCCAAGATGGGTTGTCTGGCAGTTTTCGAAGGGACGCCGTGACAGCATCGACCGCAACTCCCTCCGACGCCAAGCTAGATGGATGATGTCCTTCATTACAATGCAGCTACCTTATGAAGACACTCCACGCGTCCTTGTCACTCGTGCAAGTCGACGTCATGAAAGTTCTCCTTTTCCGATGCGGCCATAGGTGCAACGGACGACGAAGCCGAAGAGGTTACTTGTCCGTCTAACTCGACCAGGATGTTGTTCGCGCTGACCTTTCTCGTCCGTGCCAAATCGCCGAGCGATTCCGTCGGGCGGACCACGTCGTCGCCATCACTGCCATGTTTCTTGATCCACTCGGCCTTCCATGCGGCGATCTCTGCCGACGACGGCTGCGCTGAACTCTCCTTGGACGAATGCACGACAGAGGCCGTATGGCCGACCTTAGACTTGCTGGCTTTGCGATCCGAAGCTACTGTGGTCGCGATCGAGTCCTTGTCGTTTTGGGCTGGCGACTTGGGGCCATTCTTTTTTGCGCCGAGGGCTTTGGACCCTCGGCACTGGCACCGCAAGAGCCGAATGCACCGGTTGTTCGCGCCGTATTTCAGGATATAGTCGTACGTGCCCATGCGAAGGACGAGTAAGTACACATGGAACGCTGTCAGGGCGCCATACGCCACCGCGAGCAAGATGCACACAATGTTGTGGATCCAGAGGGCGGCCAACGACCCCGACGCGCTCATAGTCGGGTCGTGCGCCACGATTTCTGCATGCCATGTCGTCGCCATGACGATACCAATGATCGCTTGGTATGCTGTCATCACCGTGCCTGCTCAGGGTCCACACGTTTAGCGGCACATCAAGTCGCGGTCGACGGGTTCTTTACCCGTAACGATTAAGATGAAGAAAGGCTCGTAGTTGATGTCTCCAATGCATGTATTGAGCCTGGATGGGCAATGAATAGAACTGCGGTGAATCTGGAAACGAGTACCAAGTGCAGTGGTGGTCGAGGCCTGGGCTGTTCTTGTTGCACACAGTGCAATATCGCGTGGGTTTGGAAGGCACTGGGACACACCATTTGGCCACGACCTGCATCAACCAGATGAGCTAGAGCAATCGCGCGGTCGAGTGAACGAACGGTAGAGCTGGCGGGGTTGCGCATTTCACAGAGGAACCAGCACACGCCGAAGATAGTCAAGAGCACGCCGTATGGGATCAGCACCCACAATGGCTAGGCTTGGTCAGAGATGCCAATGATGGATGCACCTGTAGCGTTACCTCGAGGTCGTGGAGGTACGACGTTGTGAGCGCAACAAACGCCTGGAAGGATCGCAGTGAGGTAATGGGACAGACGAACACGTACGGCAATGAGCACTGGCTGCAACACCCAGCTGGTCACTTGATCGCGCGAGAACGGGCGCTGGAACCCCTGGATGCGCGTCACGCGGGTCATGTTGGCACTCACACGTCGGTCGAATGTGCTTGGCCAGCTCCATCCCTCCAAACCTATATTTAGCCGTCGTTCAAATCCAGGGCCATTGGTCAAAATTCAACAAATCCACGATTTTATCCTTTCTAACCAATCAATGACTATACCTGATTTCAGCATTCGATTCGATAAAATAAAAGGTATTTCTCAAGATCGTCGAACGAGTGAAAATATTTCTTGCGATCCTCCAATGGTCGTGAGGTATTTTTATTCCAAATCGTCCACCGCGGCATGATTGGCTAAAAGTCTCTTGAGCTGGAGGACGCGGCATGCCTGGCATGATCCATGATGGACGGGGTGTCCATGAGTAAAGTTCGAAAGTCGCTGGGTCATACCGCTCAGCTGCTGTCGCGCTCGGTGTGGCGCCGTGGACAGCAGGTGCGGTTCGTGGTTGCTGGGGGCCGCTGAAAAACCCACCTGGTACAAACACTTCCAAAGTTTTAAGTGCATGAGGCATTTAGCCAATCCTGCTGTGGTGGACGATGTGGAATAAAAAATAAATACCTCAGGAACGTTCAACATCACGAGAATTTTTTCCCTCGTTGGACGAATTTGAAAAATGCATTAAAATCAAGTTAAACCAGCTAAGCACGTGCATGGTGATTCAAAGTCGCGCAACTCATAGGAAGCATTCCCTGCATGCGCGTGGTGGAGGCGGCAGGGAGCCGCCGCCGCTTATGCGATGGAAGTCATGGAGAGGACTACCACCACACGGACG